TATTTGTTAAAAATATTTCAATAAAAGGATAAAAATTATTAATTTTGCACAAATATAACAACCAATGTCCTAAAATGTGCTAGTCGTTAATTGGGAGTCAATCAACTAAATGATTTAGTTGATTGAAAAGTTACTTCAATTGAGAGTCATTGTCTAGATATAAGAACATGAAGAACTCTCGGGTGTTATTAATATATTATATTAAATATAATAGAGTATTAAAATAATATTTTAAAATGATTCGGTTCGGGGACCCGTTTTTTCAAAATTTAGTACTCGTTCGGTTCCTAGGTTTTTAAGCACCCGCCCTGCCCCGAACCGTTTGGATTTTCTAAAATTAGGATCCGACCCTAACCCGCCTCGAACCTGTATTACCCGACCCGCGGTTCCTGTACCCGTTTGCCCATCCCTAGTTAGAATGATGATAAAAACCAAAATGATTGTCCAAAATTTGTGATTATTGACTAAGAAAAGTCAAGTTCATCAATTTTTATAGAACTGATGGAGTACATATTTGTCATCGCAATTTCGGTATTAAAAATATCAATGATCAAATTTGACCATAATTGATCAATAAAGTCAATATGATCAAGTTTTATGAAATTATGGAGTATGTATAAGATTAAGAATTAAATGTAGAAATACGTAGCACATTTAATTTCAGAAGAAAAAAAAACTGAACAAAAGATTTACGTAGAAAGATCTTCTATATGTACGCTCATCTTATTTGTTAAAAATTGAAACAAAAATTATATTTTAACTTAATACGTAATTGTACTTAATTATACTTAATAGTTCATACGGAGCATTTTTTGGCTTTTTGCTAATATGGGTCGGGTGAAATGAGCTACGTGCTCAATAAAGAGCACGCAACGTGCTCGCTAAAATTGTTGTATAAAAGTGTATTTCAGAGATGTTATTAAAGTCACTCCATATTACCATTAGAAAAAATTCCACTTTTCGTCCCGTGACTATTATACCACTTCCACATTTAGTCCTTTACTTTCAGATTGTCCACATTTAGTCCGTGACCATTATCCTCTCACCACCCCTCGTCCTTCCGGCCAAAATTCCGTTAAATTTAATGCAGATTTTAGGTAGGAAAAACCAAATTTAATGCAAAGACTAATATGAAAAACCCAACCTTATATAAAATTTAATGCAAAGACTGATTCTGAGGCTGATAAGTGGACTAAGGTTGCCGGAATTTTGACCAGAAGGACGAGGGGTGGTGAGGGGATAATGATCACGGACTAAATGTTGACAATCTTAAAGTAAGGGACTAAATGTGGAAGTGGTTTAATAGTCATGTGACCAAAAGTGGAATTTTTTTACCATTACACATGATACGTGCATGGTATATATATGCTTTACAAGGGATGGTGGACCTAGGTTAAGGAAAGAGCTTGCATGCATTTGCATGTGCTACGTGGTACATTGCATGTGACATGCATGAGTGCTACCATATGTGTTTGCTATGGTAGGTGAAGTGTCTAGCATGTGCATGTGCATGCATGTGGAAAATATTATGTGTGTGATACGGAAGGTAAAATGGAAAATAATGCAACTATTATCTTCAATAGTAGGTTTGCATTACTATTCACTTTAAAGCATAGTAAACAAGTTGTTTTTGTCAATCACTATATGTTGGTAGTAACTGAATTCGTGAGTACACACAAGGACACAACTTGTACAGTGACTATGACATGTGTTTAATTTTTTTTGTTCTATTTTTTAATAATGTATTCTTCAAGGAAATAGGTATGGAATAACTTATGGTGATTGTTCTATTTGACGGAAGGTGGAATACAGAAAAGAGGTTTTTAGCATTACTCTACTCATGACTTTTGCCTGAAGTTGATGTATCATATAATAATTTGTTGTTTGGACTACGAGAGATGTTAAACCTTGGTCATGATGTGGATATCAAAGCCATATCTTACCAGATTGACAACGTTTTCCACCAGACAACAATAGATAGTGACCAAAGTCTTAAATTTTATGTGAAGCTCAAAGAAACAAAGAAATACGATATCACGTCATATTCATCATGTGTACAAATAAGGAAGGAAGGCAACAGAGTCGGACAGACTTGATGAGTCAAGAAATGTAATAAGTGACAGTGAGTTTGATTTAAATGGTCGAGCTGAAAAAGTCTTTGTTCCACTGCAATTGGAATATAAGACTTCAAGAGGAGGAAATACGGTATTGTATGAAGAAGTGATACAGATCAACATGCCTCTTATCTCATGGATGAGTGGTGGTGGGAACAGTTTTGTAGATGACATGGACACGACCTTGAGAATTAACGACGTGTATTCGACAAAAGAACATTTGATGAAACGCTTCGATTATATGCAATGCATGATAAATTTCAGTTTAAAATAAGGACATCACATGCAGGAGTGGTGCATGTTGTATGCATTGGAGAGAAATGCAACTAGGCAGTCCGTGGGGTACACATAAAAGGAACATATTGCTTTGAAGTGCGAAGGTATGCATATGAATCAAATTTATTCTTGATGAAAGTGTTTGGTAATAAATATTGTATGAAAGTTGTAATAGTGACAAGTAGCGTGAAATTGTCTGTAAGTTTAATTCATACACACGTGCCCATTGATTGTAGAATGAGTGGTAATAGACAAGTTACAGCCAACATAATCGGGAAGTTGATTAAACACCAATACATGGATGCTTCAAGAAAGCCATATGCCTCTAAATCAATAATGTCTGGTTTGAGTAGGCGGTTAGGGCTGACTTTGAACTATAAGAAGGCATGAAGAGGAAAAGACCAAGCACTAAGATCACTAACAGGTACTGGCAGTGAGTATTATCAGAAGCTACCTATGTTGTGTTATATGATAAAAAATGAATCATGAGTCATTGATTTCATTGGATAAGGATGAGAATGGAAACTTTTTCAGAATGTTCGTGTCATTAGGAGCGTGTGGGAAGAGTTGGGCCGCATGTAGACCAGTGATAAGTGTGGATCAAGCGCACTTAAAAGCTAAATTTCGGGGGACAGTACTTTCATCGTGTGCTCTTGATGCAAATAAGCAAATATTTCCCCTGCCTTTTGGTTTCTGTGATAGCGAAAACAAGCATACATGGGCATGGTTTTTTTCAAAATTGAAAGAGGCCACATGGGAGAGATGCACGTGATATCTACCCCAGCCCGATGTTGACCACGGCCATTATGTGCAACATATTTTGGAAAATATTATATCAAAGTGTGGTGGGAAAAAATAGAGATTTAGAGTGACTTGTTTTTTCAATGCAACCATGCATGCTCCGACAGTTCATATTTGGGACTATTACATGAGGTTGCTTGATGTTGAAGATCCTAAGATACGACAATATTTGGGTGAAATTGGTGAGACGAAATGGGCACGTAGCCATAAGAGGAGGGGGCGATACACAATAGTGATTTCAAATAGTGCAAAAACATTCAACTATGTTGATGGAACTGCGAGGGAGTACTCGATTTCAATGCTAGTAGATTTTATGAGAACAAAATTAGAGATATGGTTCCATGACAGGAGGAAAGAGGCACACGAGGACACGTCAAGATTGTCACCGACAACAGAGGAGGTTTTGGCTAATCTTCTTAGTGACTCGTCAGGAATGATTGTGAGTAGTGTTTTTATTCTGAAAATGAAAGATTTTTTAATAATTATATTACTGTAAAATTATGTAGGCTAAAGGGTCAAATAGGCCCCGATACCGGTCGTGTAAGCTCAATTCAGTCCCTGAACTAAAAAAGGTCCAATTCGCACCCCAAACCGGCAGCCGATCGTGTGAATTTGGGAGTAGTTCTGATGGGAAAAAGTGACTAATAATGTTCACTAATTTCAGGTCAAGCCAAGCACGTATGATTTACACATTTGAAGTGATTGACCGATCGTGCATAAAATATGTGGTAAATTTGGAGATAAGGACGTGTTCGTGTAGAGAGTTTGAATTGGAAGACTTTGCATGTGTTCATATTGTAGCGGCAATAGGTTCGTGAGGGAGTCTATCATGTTATGACTTCGTGTCGAAGCACTACTACACCATTGTGTGGTTGGAAGCGGTAAACCTTCTTGGGTCATTCTCAGTTTACGATGTGCCACTAAATATTCGCAATCAAGTTGTCAAACCACCGATGTCAGACAAACGAACAACGATAAGACCCAAAACGAAAAGAATTCCTTCTATTAGCGAGTATCCCAAAAAACAAAAATGTGGAAGGTGCAAAGAACATGGCCACAACAAAAAAAACATGCCACAATCCAATATGGCACAATTGATTTCAGGTCTTGTTTAGATTTCTAGACATGTTTAGATTTGTGGACTGAGGATATTTTTACTTGGACCGTTTTCGGTCCCAGATCAGACTTGGATGATTATAAAATACACAGAGACCGGATATTTACCTGACCAGACTAGACCAGATCAAACTAGACTAAAATTTTTTAGTCCAAGTAAAAACATCCTTGTTTAGAAGAAAGTGGTTAAACCTAAATAAACAATTCCTGGTATTTATTGATCTAGTTTTTGGATGTTCATTGATTTTGGAATTAATACATTTGAGGTATAAAAAAGTTGGGCTATTATAGTTTTTCCACTAATGTAGTCATTGGAATATGTACGATTGAAATCCATTAATAAAGTGCAGATTTATTGACTTGTATGTCACGTGTAGCAGTTTATTGACTTGTATCCAAGTTTTAATATAAGTTTGAGGTATATAAAGTTAGGTTGTTATGTTTTTTTGTTTGTTTCAGTAATGTAGTCATGGGGATTTGATTAAGGTTACTGAGTTTGTAGTTAAACAGGTTGAAATTCATTCATAAAGTGCATTACGATGTTATATGGAAAACTGATTTGCATATTTGAAGTATTGTTTGTCATGTGTAGCAGATTTAGAAATTAAAGGTGGAGTGATCTATTTACAAAGGTTTGTGAGAAGTGTATACAAATATGGACGTAGTATGGGTGAAGTACATAGGTGAATATTACATAAAGCAAAACAAGTCTTTATATAATATGGACCAAATATGTCTGAAAACAGAGATTCCTTAGAGTCAAGACATCAATATAATAAGAGATTTCAAAGCTAAAACAAAACACAGGGGCAAAATTATAGTGAGTATCGTACATAAGGAAACAACTTGAGAATTAGTTTAAAAATGATGAAACTAAGACTAGAACTGAATTTTTTTTAGCCGTTTTACTCCCATAAACATAAAATTGTGGGCCCACTTTGGAATTCATGAGTACTAATGGGACAAATGGTACTGATTGGAAATCCTATCTGCATCGCTTCAGCCATGTTTAACATGAGGAAACCACAATCACTGCTATAAAAAATTAATTTGGTATGACATATGTTAGTAGGTGGACATTTTATTTGTCAAAAAAAAATTGAAATACAAGAAGAATAAAAATAGTAAAATATACCCATTAATCTGTTGTCGGACTCGAGAAAACATGGAACAAGAAAATGGAGTAGTCACTATCAGAAATTGAGGAAGTGATTTTGACTGCAATTCTGCCAACAACAATGACAAATAGTGAATGAGACCTTGCATTTCTACCTGAATATTATGTGTCACTGTAGTCCGACGATTGTTGGTTTCATAAACTCATAGAATCCGAGCACGGTCATCAAGAATTACAAGAATCCAATGCTTGGAAGACAAAGTGAGGGGAAAGTAAATGTAGTTAGCTTAAAGACATGAGAGTAAATACTGAGTTGGATCACCAAGTGCATTGTCAGTGAAGAACCTATCAGAGACTGACTTGCTTGGGGAGGAACGATCTTCAGTATACGCTTGATACAGACGGTTAAAATGTTGTGGAAAGTGTGTTTCGACAGTCGAGAACTTCTGAGGCCAACCCCACATTTGTCCTTTCATGCATAGGTAGAAACATATCGAACAAACATGCTTGAAAGAATGGTCAGAACATCAGTGAAGTTAGATTAGCAATGAAAATTTTAAAATCATACTAAAAGAAGAGCAGAAATTAGTATGTATTCAGACACTTACCGTTGCATCTAGCCACTGACCCATCTAGTATAGTTTGTAAAGCCAGGTCTTTGATTCAATGCAAAGGCCAGGATCAAGCTCAATAAGAAAGTCTTTATCTATGTCAGGCGTGTAAGCAATTTGAACATTCACTTGGTGGTTAGCTCTGAGTAGTCTTTTCATCACAAAATTGTGGAATTGTTGACGTTTGGAAGGGTTATTTATAAGCAAAAAGGGCGTGTCAGTCAATGGATTGGTCGTGGCGGCATGAACATCTGATTTCTTGGCCTTTTTAATCGCTTCAGACCCAGGTGTGTATCTTTTAGGTTCCATTGCTTTGCGTTTATGGCGCTCATTTTGGGGCATGGGATCAGCTGGTAGATGTGTAACATCAGTCGACAATTTGTTAACCTAAAAAGATACACGTTCAATATAACACGTGTTAGAGTGTTGAAGACAAAAGAATTAAAAATAATGATTGCTCATTAGTGATTGTATTTCATTAGTGTAGGCCCGACTAATCTGAGTATAGTACAGTAAATAGAAAGCAAAAATACAGAGTAACTTAGTTGTGACAATGTATTAGTAGTGGCTACTTAGCTTAATACCTTTATTTGGACAATATTATTCGATGAGATACAAGCAACACCTATAATCTGATGGATATCCTGAATTAATGTTATATGGAAAATTAGGGAACGAAATGATGAATGAAACAAAAAAAAATATGATGTAAAGGACTTACACTGCCCTCAAGCATTTCATAAGCTATGCTAATCGTTTGGTTCAATCCAATATCATCATTCCCATCATTTCCCTCGTGTGATACTAAAGGTGTAAGTGAAATTTGAAAACCAGACCTGTCAACTCGAGAAGCCATTGTGGACTTCTGGAGGTGTGTGATTGGTGGACTGTGTGTTAACCAAATGCTGAACAAACGAATTCAGTTTGGTAATTGCATCATCCTGAACTTTGAACTTCTACTCATACAAAAGAATCTCATTCTTCAGTCTCTATTTTTTTTCAGTTGCCAGTATTCTGCCTCTTAACTCTTCATGGATAGCCTCACATGAAGCAGAACAAAATCAGAGGTAAACGATTCAACAATAGGTATTTAACATTAGGTATTCAACAAAAGCAGAACAAATTGAAAAAAACAACATGCAAGACAATGAAATCCAAGTCGGACAAGTATTCAAATATAAATCGATTTTTAATTTCTCAGCATTGATCGGCTAACAAAGGAGTTCTACATTAGATATTCTGAATATGAAAGACATTGAAATCAAAAAGAGAAGTAGAAAACGTTAAAAAAGTGAAGTTCGAAAAAAACTTACAAGAGGTTTTACCGATTAGAGCGAGCGACTACCACACGGCCGAGCATCAGTTCCGGAGACAAGACGAGCAAGAGATGTAGCTTCGGTGATAGAATGAGAGATGATTTCAATGACCATACGAGCTACTGAGACTCTGAGAGACATAAATGGCAGTAACCGATGGGAGTTTCTAGATGAACGAATATAATTAACACGAGAGAAAAAACAAATGTGGAAAGAAAGTAGACCGTAATTAGGTAATTGTATTTAAAATCAGATTAGGATGCAATTAATGAGATAATGTCACTTTTTTGGAAAACAAAAGACAGGTAACCTTTTTGGAAATCAAAACTATGTTACTCCCTCTGTCCCTTAAAACTTTGTCATCTTTCCTTTTTGGGATGTCCCAAAAAACTTTGTCACTTTCCCTTTTAATCAATTATTTTGTGGTTTTTGTTATTTCTCTCTCCTCTGCACAAACCTCATCCACACATTTTTTACTTTATTATTCTCCGTGTCAGTCAGCTTTATCAAAGTTTTAAGGGACGGAGGTAGTAGTAAATACTGGCCATTTTTTCGTAAAACAAGGTAGTGAACCGCGTTCTAGAGGCCAGACTTTTAAGCAGCTGGGCTCAGGTCCAATAAAGGTCTTTAACAAACAGGCTAGACCTAAATATATTGGGCCTGGAATATTTAAACTAAAGCCTTCTAGAATTACCCGTTTTCTACTGTCTACATATATCGTCTTCTTTGGTCTGTCTTTAGAATTACCAGATTTCTGCCTCCATTACTTTCTCCTGAAGGCAGCGAGATCGTTGAGAATGGCTACCCCGATGGTAATGGATCCAACCCCAATTCCAACTCTGAAGCCTTCATCAGAGCTACCGGCGACTCGGTCCTTTACGTCCATTAACGACTTTTCCTCAGACGGAGATGACGATCTCTACGCACGGCTGAAGTCCCTTCGGAGGCAGCTGGAATTTATAGAGATTCAAGAGGAGTATGTGAAGGACGAGATGAAGAATCTTAGGCGGGAACACTTGCGTGCACAGGAGGAGGTTAAGCGGATCCAGTCTGTGCCCCTCGTGATCGGGCAGTTTATGGAGATGATTGATCAGAATAATGCTATTGTCGGTTCTACCACTGGGTCTAATTATTATGTGCGGATTCTCAGCACCATCAATCGGGAGCTTCTCAAACCGGCTGCTTCGGTGGCTTTGCACCGCCACTCGAATGCCCTAGTTGACGTTCTTCCTCCTGAAGCGGACTCGAGTATTTCTTTGCTCAGCCAATCTGAAAAGCCGGATGTCACCTACTCTGTAAGCTTATGGTCTTCTACTTGCTCTATTAGTGTTTATGTTATCCAATTGTGATTGCAACGTTCATTGCGTACTCTTGTTAGGTTACCTAAAATTCGAACTCCTTACTCTTTTCAAGGATTAGTGTTTGCAGTCGCAATAATATACAAGTAATAACCTACTTCTTCCAAGGCAAAAGAGGCATGTTTTGAAGATATTGTAGTGTAATGTACGGTGTACCATGTTCATGGGATTATACTGTTTCACTTTCAAATTGATACTTTCTTACAGAGTGCTTTTCAGGATTTCTTAATGATTATGTTTTTATTGATTTGTTTCTCATTTTCTCCAGAAGTGGAGATGAACCTTTTTTAGCTAATGTAAAATGATACGTAGTAATTTAGGAGGAATTTACAGAAGTATAAGTACTCTACATTTATCTTGGTTTCATTCCTTTTGCTAGAGTATCAGACTTACCTTCATGTAATATAGCATTAGGGAACTTTAGAACTTTGTATTAGCATCTACAAGGTTGATTTCTTTCAGTGACTGGTCGCTTATTAAAGCCTTTTTTTCTTATATTAATTTCCATAGGATATTGGAGGATGTGACATTCAAAAGCAGGAAATCCGTGAGGCAGTGGAGTTACCTTTGACCCATCATGAGTTGTACAAACAGATTGGTATTGATCCTCCTCGTGGTGTCTTACTATATGGCCCACCAGGGACTGGGAAAACTATGCTTGCCAAGGCTGTTGCAAACCACACCACTGCATCTTTCATTAGGGTTGTGGGTTCTGAATTTGTCCAGAAGTACCTAGGAGAGGTATGTTCTTACTAGTCTACCTTGAATGCCTCCGCTGATTTTTTTGCTGTCTCCTAATAATATCTTTGTTCTTTCATTTAGTACAGTTCTACTAGAATGGTTTCAGTAGTTAACGGTCACTCAAAGTTTCTAAAATTCTTATTACTTTAGTACATGTTAACACTGTCAAATGTTCATCATCATCATTGCCCCGGTGCCGCAAAGGCCCACCTATGGTGGGGTAGGGGGGGTCGGATGTACACAGCCTTACCTCTGTACTAAAGTACAGAGAGATTGTTTCCGGATGACCCATAGTGAAAATCGCATTGAAAATTGCATGGATTGAATGTGTCTTCATAACAAAGACGTTGCTGCTTCATAACAAAGAAGACAGTTTAGTGAGCCATTTTGTTTTACTCCATCATATTCCCAAGCAAAAAAATAATGAACTTTTGACTCCATTGCAAACGATGGAAATTTTACTTGTAAAAAAATTTAAATTACCTAATAGTTTTGTTTATTAGTTATTTATAGTTCAGTGTATTCAGTAAGCGCTTTCTTCTCCCTTCAAATTATCAATGGGAAATTATTGGTGATATTTTGGAGTGAGCTCTATCTCATACAGGATTCAAATCTTCCCCTTGTCCTATTTTACCTGTCTTAGAACAACTCATTCTTCATTTAGTTTCTTTTAATATTCCTTGATCCTTATGCTTATGGATTTGATTTTTATGTGTAATAGAACCCTTCATGTCGTGCCTCAATGTGTATTTTATTTACTCTCTAACCTTTATATATCTAAATTTTAAAATCGAAAATATTGAGTCCTCAATTCTTGTCCATACAGAAGCAAAAATGAGCATAAGATTTTGAAGCATTAGATGATCAGATACATAGGGATTCATAATGATACGTGGAACTTTTTGTGTTCTTTATCTGTTTTATTTCCTCCGTTCCATATTCACGGTTTGATGTTTCCTTTTGGGTAAACTTTTTCACCTAAAATTTGATTTTTTTGCCTTACTCTCTCCATCATATGGTTACATCAACAAAATAATGTCGCATTTTCTCTCTTACCTCATCAACTACCAATTAATTGTTATAATTTACTTTTTGTCTATCCGTTGTACTTTCCTTAACAATTGTTCTCAAACCAACTATGAATTGTGTTACGGGACGAATGGAATAGCTGTTACAATATGCATTTCTATTCCAAAAGTCTTGTTGTTTTGAACTTTATCATACTGCCACTGTCTTTTCACATCTGTTCCATAATTGTTTAGGGTCCTCGTATGGTTCGTGATGTTTTCCGGCTAGCGAAAGAGAATGCCCCAGCAATCATATTTATTGATGAAGTTGATGCAATTGCCACAGCTAGGTTTGATGCCCAGACTGGAGCTGACCGAGAAGTTCAGCGTATTCTCATGGAGTTGTTGAATCAGGTGTTCTTTCTGTTCACCTTGATTAAAAGCTTTCTCTTCTTCCACACCATATTTTGCTGTGTTAAGTTTTGAGTATTACTTTCTGCTGCAGATGGATGGGTTTGACCAGACTGTCAATGTGAAAGTCATAATGGCAACAAATCGAGCAGACACATTGGACCCTGCCCTTCTGCGTCCTGGAAGGCTTGATCGTAAGATTGAATTTCCATTGCCAGATAGACGTCAGAAGAGGCTTGTGTTTCAGGTGGATTATCAGAAAATTTTGATGTTTTCATCTTTTATTATACATATACTGATATACTCTTAAAACAGTGGATGTTTTAGAAAAGTGAACGCATTTTAAGGAACCTTACAAATGAACCTTCTATTCCTCTTTAATTGTAACATTAGTTCTCTTTTAATTCTTTTAGGGTCCATCTGTAACTCAGAAAGTGTTAGGAGAAGAAAATACGGGGAAAACATACAGATTTCCAAGGATATTTTTTTGTGGAAATGTAAAAAACTGGTTCAATTTCAGTGAAGTATGATAGATCACAGGTAATATAACAGCAAACAATATAGATCGATGAGAAATATGGAGTAATGATCGAAGGTGTTTATTGATATCGAGCTAAACGCAATACGTATACAAAAGCTAGGACTGTTCGAGAAGCCTACTCTCCTAAGCCAAAATGCCAATTCAATCACAGCCTGCCTCATTAGTTAATTTTTCCAACTATTTATAGCCCATAACCCTCTTCCTTCTATTAAAATCACAGGCCCACTTATTAATATCTATAATAGGCCCACTTATTAATAATTCCTATCATTACTCCCACCCTAAACAACCACCTTGTCCCCAAGGTGGGTGATAGGAGTCAGCCTTGATTATCAACTTCATCTTCATCCGAGTCCCTCTCCCTACCCAGTACCACAAAGCATTCTGGATCTTTAGCTTCAGCACTTGGGCCATCCTCTTGACCTCTACCACCGCCAGAATGAGCAGGTGTACTGACACTGTTGGGTCCTTCCCAACCTCCTGTTTAGATTGCCAATGAAGAGAGCTATGGTTCCCGGTTATTTGCTGCATAATTTCACTATGAATGTTCAGTTCACCCCACCAATTTCTAGCAGCTGTGATTCCCTTCTCACTTCCTTGTTTTAAAGGTAGATCCACGAGGTGCCCTATCTGTGAGATAGCAATCACAACCGTCTGAAACGTAGAATCCAGTTCTATATCGAGTCCACCCAACTGATATACAAAATCAAACTCATTTGCCCAGCTCAATCCAGAACCTGATATTTCAGCAGCTGTTATCTTTGGTATGGAACCAGAATTCCTACCTTCAATGTAAAACTTCCACAGTTGGTAAGTTCCGAACCCAGTTCTCAAGATTTTCTTCCCCATCCTTCCTGCACTTTGCTTTACTATCACCCCCAACCTGGCATCAGATTGCGTGAACCTGGATTCTTCAATTGCAATATACTTTGGATCATCTTGCACCCCTGATTTTGCCAAAGCCCCCAGAAATATTACAGTGTTGTCAACCTCCAGAACTTTATCCTGACTTCCAGCACAAACAACACTCTTTACCTGCACAGATTGCCCTTCATAAAACATACAATAACCATCACCAGTGTCCTGCACCACCTGCACCACCGGAGTCATGGTTTTCAGTGATATCTCCATGGAGCTCAAGTGTGGGTCCCCTTGAATCTGCTGATCTAACCCCTGAATCTTCCATTTTATACTTTGTTTCCGAAAGTTTATTTCCATATCACCCAAAGTAGTCAGCCACTCCATTCCCAAAACCAAGTCAGTTTCTTCCAAAGTCAGAAAGTAAAAGTTTTGTTTTATGATTGAACCCTGCATACATAAAGTCAAATCTTCACATCTTCCATCATTAGATAGCTTTTCTCCATTACCAACCTGCACTTTGTATCCTGAAATGGTTTTAAAAGGCAGCTCCAATTCATCCACCAGTTTCTTAGAAATGAAGTTGTGAGTGGCCCCACTATCAATCAACACTTCCACTTGTTTTACCCCTCTATCCCACTTCATAATTCCTTTAATTTTGAAGGCTCTCATGGTAGGTATCCCCTCCTTACTCATGGGTGACAATTGCATGGATTTGGACTCCATTACAATTTCTTCTTCTGTAATTTCAGGATCTATCCTTTCAGATTCCTCCTCAGCATCTGAATCTTCTACAAGCATCATTTTATAATGCTTCAGTTTGCAGGTATGCTCTTTATTCCACTTCTCTCCACACTTAAAGCAAAGCCCTTTCCTACTTCTCTCTTGGTATTCATCATGTGATAACTGAGGTCCAACCCTTTTTATCCCTGAAGAATGAATTTCAGTCTCCTTATTCCCTGCTGAGTTAAACCAAGTCTGGTTAGTTTTGTTCTGATTTTGAACCCCTGAACTACCAGCTCTTGTTCTGAAACCTTCTCCCCACCTGGGAGGTTTAGCATAAACTGACTCTTTATCCCTTCCACCCAATCTCTCATCCTCCTGTCTCTTAACAGATACTGCTTCATTCCTCTTCTCAACCAGTAAAGCCATATCCATTACTTCAGCTAGTGACCTGGATTGATGCAGTTTCAATTCGGCTTTGACTTCTGGCTTTAATCCAGCGATAAATACCCCCCTTAGTATTTCTCGGTCAACATTCTTCTGTGGAGCAATGATCATCTCAAATTCATCCCTGTATGCTTCAACTGTTCCAGTCTGCTTCAAACTCAACATCGGTCCGTATGGATTCTGTAACAAGTCAGGTTGGAATCTACGAATAATAGATTCCTTAAGTGATTCCCAGTTCTTCTCCTCGGTCTGAAGTTCCCACCACTGGAACCAATTCAGAGCCCTGTCTTCCATAGCCACTACCGAGACTTCCAACTTATCCTCCTCAGCAATATAATTCAGTCTAAAGTACCTCTCCATCCTTACTAGCCAATTATAAGCCCCATCACCATTGAACAATGGTAAATCCACCTTACGACCCGTATGAACTGGGAATCTATTATACTCATCATGTCGTCTGTGAATAGCAGGGTTCGAATGAGCAGAGTTACCTCTTGAGACCGCTGGACTGGGCGATGGACGCGAGTGATGACTATGGTGAGATCGCGATCTCCCTCGGTGATGGTGGTCCTCGCTCATCGTGTCGATCCTTCCTGACATGTTCTGCATCATCGTTTCCATCCGCAACAGTGCTTCCTCCATGGTAGTTCGACTGCGTTCAACTGCTTCCAGACGTTGCTCCATTTTTCCTCTTGTTCGAACCATTCACGATCCGAACGATGAAATTGGGCAAATACGGTGATGTCGCTACTGCCAACGATCACCGCCCCACTTCTCTGATACCAATGATAGATCACAGGTAATATAACAGCAAACAATATAGATCGATGAGAAATATGGAGTAATGATCGAAGGTGTTTATTGATATCGAGCTAAACGCAATACGTATACAAAAGCTAGGACTGTTCGAGAAGCCTACTCTCCTAAGCCAAAATGCCAATTCAATCACAGCCTGCCTCATTAGTTAATTTTCCCAACTATTTATAGCCCATAACCCTCTTCCTTCTATTAAAATCACAGGCCCACTTATTAATATCTATAATAGGCCCACTTATTAATAATTCCTATCAAAGTAATTTCAAAAAACTGTTCAAATCGATTTTTAATGATATAATCCTAGGATAGAAAGACTAGGAAAAATAAAGATATACTACGTATAAAATTTTAATTTTAAATCAAATTTGATTTTATTTCGTAAGTTCTGAAGTAAGAACAAACATACAAAACTATTTTTATTTTGCATTTGTTCTTTTCTTACCATTTTTCACATCTGAAAATAAACTTAAGGTACCAAGCGTTCAATTTAGGAAGAGTTAATGCTGGCAAATTTGAAAGATTAGAACAAGAAAAATATCCTTCAGATTACTAAAAATGACAACATTTAGGTTTAAAAAGATGAGCTAAATCGAAAATATGGAGAGTGTATTTCCTCATACTATATCCGTATGTAAATCTAAAGTTGAGAAATATACTATTGGACAGGTATGTACTGCAAAGATGAATTTGAGTGATGAGGTCGACTTGGAGGATTATGTTTCCCGACCTGATAAGATCAGTGCTGCTGAGGTCTGTATCTCCCTTCTGTTTGTGATTCGTTATGCTTTTGACCCTTCCCTTTAGTTTGATGCAATTTGCGATTTGGGATGTGCCTTTCAAATGCTCAAATGTCATTCTGCCCATTAAAATCATTGATTCATAATACTTCCTCTGTTCAGAAATAAATGCAATGTTGATTTGGGCACATAAAATAAGTCACGGTCCTTCAATTTGTTTTCTGCGTATTATGTTCTTGGTTACATGGGTAAATACTTAAACATTCAAAAGTGCTACAGTGCTGCATCATTACACCGTGCAGTACTTGTGCTGTCCTTTGTTAGCAGAAAAAATTACCATAACCAACATATTCAAATGGGCTTCGTTCATTACAAATTATCTCGGAAATCAATAAAACCCTGAAGCCATAAGATTTGCATCTGCAACAGATGAATTGCTTTTGTTCAAAATAAGGACTAAACAAAAGATCTACCTCTTTTTAGATCTTGTTGCTGGGTCTCTGTTTTTTCTGGAAGGAAATGAAAGATTTAAAAATATATAGAAAGAAAGATGGTGAGCGAAAAGGATAGATGGAACACTAGTAATAGATGGAAGCAGATAGGTCATGCATGGTACTTGGTAGCCTCGTTAGTGAAGGGAGAGTGAAGAAGAATGTAAAAATGCAATGGGTCATCATCATTACCCGAGTACTGCCTAGGCTCGTAAGGGGAGAGTCAATATTAATTGGGTAGGTTTAACGGGGCAAGGTATGTAAAGAACAGAGAGAAATGGGAGCATTATGAACAATACAGAATAATGATTAGAGGCCCTAATAATCCCCTGGCCCTTATAAAGTGGTGCAAACAGTCATTATAATGGGCAATACTGATTCTATGACAACGACTGATAAAATTTACAAAATAAAAGACTAAATGTGCTCGATTACACAGTGTGTAAGTGTAAGATTTAGTTCATTTGTCCATGGTAGCTCGCTAATCTCTATCGAATACTCTAGAAGAATGGAATTATGTCATTTGATTAGCAATAATGGCATTATTGCTAAGAGCCTGGTCAGTCAAGGGTCAGTAAAAAGTGTACCACGTATTTTTCCCATTATTAACCAATCAACCTGGCTGACTCAATCAAATAAAGTAGGGTTTGGTAAAGCATGTGATTGATACGGCACCCAGTGATGAGAAAATTACATGGTTTTGGTTGCAGATAACTGCAATTTGTCAAGAAGCAGGAATGCATGCAGTGCGCAAGAACCGGTATGTTATCCTCCCCAAGGACTTTGAGAAGGGTTACAGGACAAACGTCAAGAAGCCCGACACAGACTTTGAATTCTACAAGTGAGAAGATAGATTCTGAAGCAATGTCCTAAAAATCCCCTCCTAGGTGCTAGGTTTCCATTTGCCTTGTATGGTCAATCCCCAGCCCAGTTGCCCCGCATGTGATTTGCTAAAAGTATTGATGAATATTTGTCTGGAATGCGAAACATGCTAAATCTGCTATTTTTAGATTGTTTATGTTATCCTGTCTCATATGGAATCAAAGATTATAGATTATTTCAGTTGTTTGCTCTCGTGTACATTGGTTCTCGCTTTCAAGGCACCCCCTCCCTCCCTCCCTTTTGAGTTTCCTATATTGGGCAACTAAAATAGGCACATCAGTTTGGCATGAGAGCACATGATGAGCCCGTTGAAATAATTGATGGAACAAATGGTGCTATGATAAATCCTTAAAATGTCCACATGATGACAACCCTCTACTTCGAGTAAAAAGCAATTGTAAAATCTCTGATTGACAGATATTTTGAGACCATCTTCTAGCATATTGCTGGTTTTTTGTAGTAGCATATTGTATTTTTTGTGTGGGTAAAAGTACTAGGGATGGACTCGGTTCGGGCCGGGCCCGGTTCGGGCCTTGAACCGGCCAGGCCTCGGTTCAAGGGATGGGAGGCCCGGAACCGGCCCGGGTAACCCTCGGGTCCGGGTCGGGCCTCGGTTCTATTTTTTTTTTTTTGGCTTTTCCTAGTTAACCCCCAACCCTCCCCCTCACCCCCAAACCAACCCTAATCACCTCAAATGACCCAAAATACCCAGCCCAACCCAAAAACTTAAAAAGAAATTCAAAAACAAAAAGGGAGAACTATCAAATAAGCCCTCGAACTTTCATAAAAAGTGCAAATAAACCCTTTTATAGGAGGCTTTGTCCGGCTGTCGCCATTTGGGGCGATTTTCGGTGGAATTTTTTTATTAAATTATTTGAGAATCTTCTTCATTAAGTCTAAATTTACCCATACCAAATTTCAGCTAAAAATTCAATCGAGAAGGCAGTCAAATGAATTTTTGAAGATAACTGCGCAGTTAGAATATATTTCAGAAAATCATTTGACTGCGTTCCCGATTGAATTTTTAGCTGAAATTTGGTATGAATAAACTAGACTTAATGAAGAAGATACTCAAAAAATTTCATCAAAAAATTACACCGGAAACCGCTCCAAATGGTGACGACCGAACAAAGCCTCCTATAAAAGGGCTTATTTGCACTTTTTATGAAAGTTCGAGGGCTTATTTGATAGTTCTCCCAAAAAAAATGGTCCGGCCCGGGCCCGAATCGGCCGAGCCGGTTCACCTTTTGAAGGGCCCGAGCCCGAACCGAGATCCCACCGGGCCGGGTGGCCCGAACCGGCCAACCAACCGGTTCACCGGTCCGGGCCCGCACAGTAGCGAGCCGGTCCGGTTCCGGGCCGGTTGGCCCGGCCCGAGTCCACCCCTAGGTAAAACAGCAAAATATAGTAATGAAAGTAATCTTGAATACATGGCGGAACCACAAATAACCAAATATGAGAATCAGCCATTCAGCCGGTAAAGAAGCTGCCTGAGCTAAAGTATGGGTAGGGATGGATCAGGCTCGGGCCGCCTGGCTCGTAAACCGGCCCGGCCCGCTAATGTGTGGGCCCGGACTGCCCGATCTAGGGTACCAGGTTCCGGGCCTAGGCCCGGTTGGGGGATTGGAGCAATGGAGCGGGCCGGTTACGGGCCCTTAATTTAGTGAACCGACCCGGTTGGGCTGGGCCTTTTTTCTTTTGTTTTTTCAAATTTTTTGGTTTTCCCTGGGTAGGGCTGGGTGTTTTGAAGGGGTTTGGGGTGTGGAGGTGAGGGGGGGGGGGTCCGGGGTTAATTGGAAAAGCAAAAAAAAAAAAAAAAAACATTGAATCAGACCGGACTGGACCAGAACCGCCGGCTACCCGGGCCGGTTCCGCTTTACCCTTTCCCAAAAAAAGCCCACCCAGGCCCAGGCCTGGAACCGGCCCGGCCCGGGTCCACCCCTAAGTATGGGCCAGCAAATTCACTAATCTACGAATAAAATGAAAGGACATTGCATTAAACTGTCTTGTCAAAGATCTGCAACTGGGATTTTGCTCCTCTCCATTAACTGGAATGGTCCAGTAGGAGAGAGATAGAGAGAGGTGGGGAAATGGTGGGGTAGAGAAAAAGAAAATATTATGTTTAATTATTATTTTTAAGGAGAGATAGATTGAAAAAGAAATGGAGAGAGTAAATGGAGAGAAGGAAATGGAGAGGGGTATGACCCTTGCAACTGCAAATGATAGCACCTGCATTAGAAAAATCCTGATTCTGAGAATTAAGAAGATTACACATTGAGCAACTGGAAATAATTTTATTTATTGATCTATTTTTTTTAATGTGATGTGTTTTTTATTAAATATGCTGGAGGTTAAAGTTGTTGCATTCGCAAACATGAAGTTTGTAATTAAAATGAATTTCTGTCTGTCAATTTCCTAGGTTGCTGTCTTCACGTAATTATTATTATTATTTTCAATACTATTTCTTGTTAATCAACGTGATGCTTTTATTAATCACACACGGACACACCTGATCGACACCTCAAGTAGGGGTTCAAGTGCTGAATCCTTCACTCAAAGAAGACAAACATGTTAAGCCAAATTTAGCAATCAAGAGTGATAGATCATTGGACGTTAATTAGTTTCCACTTCTACACCCCCTTCCCTTGTCTTCTCAATTAGTACCCTAATAATTGGTGTGCGTGTGATGTTTGATTATACTAGTATATATTAATCACATAGGTAGATGTTATAAATTTCACCAACAAGTTCTTAATTGACATCTAAGGTTAATTTGGAGATTATAGGTTGGGCTTGGATAGATGTAGGGATGGACCCGGGCCGGTCTGGTTCCGGTTCCGGGCCGGGTCTGAACGGGCTTTTTTTTCAAATGGTTGGGCCCGGAACCGACCTGGGTTGATACCGGGTCCGGTCCTAACTGGGCCGGGCCCGGGTCAAGTTAAAATATATTTTTTGCTTTCTAACTAACACCCGATCCCTTCCCCTCACCCCCACCCCCAACCCCCCCAAAACACACATCCCTAACCAAGAAAAACAAAAAAAAATGAAAAAAAAGCCCGGGCCCGGCCCGAACCGCCCAGCCCGGTTCAACCAATACTGGGCCCGAGCCCGGTCCGCCCACCCCTCCCCAACCGGGTAAAAGCTCAGACCCGGTTAGCACGAACCGGGCTGGTCCGGGCCCGCACAATGGCAGGCCGGACCGGATCCGGGCCGGGCCGAACCGGTTGTGTCCATCCCTCGATAGATGCAAACTCATAATTTTTTATCGATACTTTGCTCAAAATCTTCTATAACAAGAATGTGTTTCCAACATCTAGTTCAAGTAGGTTATAGGTATTATTTTCATATCACTTTCTCCCCCAAAACAATGTTCACCCATTCTTTAATAAAATAAGTGTGACCTCATATTATCTCTCTCACACTCCATCACACAATTTAATTACTATTCATAATAAAAGTAACAAATCAATTTAGAAAAAACGAACAAAGAATTTGATACGATATCTATGTTACATTTTGTGACAAGTAGTTAGTTTTTAAGGCATAATTTTCCTTCATATGATGTATGCCATATATCTTATTAAAAATCGTATACAATCAGTTGCGGTGATGAAAAGTTAAATGCATGGGTAATGTGGATGTTGCATGTATACCATTTGTCACACATTCATAATGAACGACTCCACGTACAAATTTCTCTCTAAAATTAAATGTTCACATTTAATGTTTCATTATAAGGAATGATATTGATAAACACTATTGAAACTTGAAAGTAGTTTAATAAATTAAAGACTGTTCATTTTATTCATTAAATTAAAGATAGATTCTTAATGGAATATATATACACCCAATTTCTCTATGTTTTCTTTTTAGTTCCTCTAATTGAAAGGTAACAAATTTGAGAAAAATCAACAACCCTTCATGATTCTAATCTACATTTTCACATCAGTTTTTACAAAATTTGAGACTGCTAATAGAGTTAAAACTAATTAATCCATAATTTTCCTTTTACAAAAACATTTTCACTGATACCGTGTGTTTAAGAACCGGGAAAACAAAAACAACTAAAAATAGTTTGGTGCTATGTTGCACGGAAACGCGAAAATCGCGAGGAATCAGGAAACGGAAAACATCAACATTTCCTCAAAAAGAACTTGTTTGGAGAGTTTTCAAGAATTTCAGAAAAGGAAACGTACTTTTTGTCGAGAATTTCCTGCTACATACATTTGGTGTTGGGTCTACTTGTTACCAAGTGGGAACAATTTCATTAATGAGTTGTATTGCAAATTTGCAAGAGTTGACATTTTGACTATGAAGTAAACTTAGGACAAGGAAAAGAAAACAAATGGATAAAAGAAAGAAAAGGATGGGTTTGATAGATCCAAAGAGTAGACAGCAAAAAATTAATATATAAATGCCTCGTTCTATGCTCTAAATCACATAATCAAATGTATTTCAGCCTCTAATTAATTGATGTGTTGTATCCATTTTGGATGTAGCATTTCGAGGGGCCCAATATAGGTCTTTTCTAAATGCTAAATACACATCTCCCACATTTTAATTCATATTTTGACTTTAAATTAAATTTGTTAATTTTAACGGTTAGTAATCTCAAGTAAATAAGTAATACTAAAATTTGCTGCACAGTACAAGAATTAATTTTGAATATTTATTTTAATATTCATCTTGAAATATTGATTTATCATACCAGCAGGGGCGCAGCTAGGGGAGGGCCAGCCCTGACCCAACCCTGGCCGCCCTGGCCTATCCTAAATTTAAAAAATGTCTGTATTTTTAGTGTAAAAAAATCCGTATATTTTTTTTTTGAAAAATATTTTTCATATTGATCCAGTCCGACCCAATGCCCTAGTTCCGCCCCTGATATCGAGTAACTCTTATAATGATATATTCTCAAATATTTAGTGTAAAAAAAAGTGTCAAACAAAAAATTAAGTTTCATTAGTGGAAAAGTTAATTATTTTAGTTATCTAATTACTACAATCATTTCGAGAACATTATTATAGCTCTACTGATCTAGTATGGTCAAAATAAATTACTGTAAAAATTTAAGCTGTCATTGTAATATTGTCAAAGAAGAATTTTCCGCAAGGAGCAAATAGCGCTCACCGCTTTGTGCACCACCAAGTTCACAATCTTTGACGAGTGATGACCACCACTGCCAAACCAATATCATGACTGCTAAAATGACCGATTTTTTAATTGAATTATTTTTA